TTTGTGAAATTAAAGTATTATATTAATTTCGATATCTAGTATACATGTAAAAACTTAATTATTAAACTTTAAAGGTATAAAATAATTTTTATTGTGTAAATATGGGATAAATATACTTTCTTTCACTTAAAATTTCTATGCAAAGTGTGTTCCATTTCAGGCCCGAAAAGAAAGTTTACCGAAAGGTTAGTTTCGAATATAGACATTAACTTGTACACACTGTTTCAAAGAAAATTGACAGAAAATTATAAAGTCTAACGTTTTGTATTTTTTTCGACAAATATGAAACCAGCAAGAAGATATCTTAAACCTCAACGAATTTTGCGTACACGTCACATTATGTATATTTCTGTTTCATATTTATAACCTACCTACAAATCAGCATTCATTTCTAATCAGAGCGAGCGTCTTTTCACTTTAATTCAATATGATGAGAATATCTGAAGAAAAAGAATTTTTATTGAAACATCGAAATATATAATAATTTTTCAGGTGGTTTTATATTTATAGCGCACCTAGAAATTATGAATTATTTCCAACTGAAAAGAAAATATTCCACTAAATATTTATAATCGCAATGGATCACGGGCATTATGTGCTATAATTTTTTACAAATTATTCTTAAAAATTTCTGATACCAAGTTGAAATCTGCTCGAGTTAGGGTGGAATAATCCTTTTGTATTTAATATAGCAAAAAGGCGATTAGGATTTGCGTGAATTACGTTCTATTTCCGTGTTCGTTCTTCGTTCGTTTACGGTTTAGAGAAACTTTGAATGTCTCGGTCATTCACATGTTCCAAAAAGTAAAAGCAGATAGCTCGACGCCATAATTTGACTGGTCGATGATATTTAACGGCGGCGAGTACCGTCCTACGCTATTTAATGTTGACGCAAACATTTATTTATATTTTTGTCGAAATCAAATGGGCTCTCTGGACGAAAGTTAATTCGAAATTGTTGAAAAACGGGAATCTAATTTGAAGCATTGAACAAATTATAATAATATTACAGAGTAATTAATGTAAGACGTTTTAGCCAGCAATCGCCTTATTTTCAAATGTTATTAATAGACTGTGAATTTTTATGCAAAATAACATTTTCTAATGTAATTTATAAAGACAGGAGCAAATGTAGACATTTATTTTTCCTCTTACGTATCTTATTGGGTTCAGACTAAAACAGAGAAATCAATGGATCCGATGAAAATTTTCATTTGTATCGTATTTCACAGAGCCCTATGAGCCATAAATGCATAAAATCCACAGTCTAGTTAATTAATGAAACGAATCAGCCATGTTTAAGAAACGTGAACGTATTTAAATCCTTCAATTACAAAAAGTATGACGCATGAGCAAGTTTCTTATATAGTTTACGTTTTTATTTGTATCTAATTAATTTCTTGTGTATAGCGACTCAGACAGTGCGCAATGGAATTAAAATGATTTTGATTCTTTGGCCATCCAGAAGTCATTCATGATTACCATCTTCACGCGTGTCCAGTTAACATAACACAGAATAGGTACCTGTATGTTCAACAAAAGGACATGAAGAATCGATTGATTTTATTGAATATTTTCATTAACATAATGTTTTATTTACAAGTATTTTAAGAGAAATTAGTCCTTCTAGGATTATTGAGTACATTTTCAGCAGAATTACAATTTCTTGTAGGAAGGAACTATTATTATTTTAAATTAGGTGGAACGAAAATTTATTGCTGTTCCAAGTTGAAAAATCAATGTAAATTAATAAAAAAAAAATGTTTTCGTTGTTATTGAAAGTTTTGACTGTAAGGTGGAAATAATTTTTTATTACACTATAATTAGTGTTTATGCAAATGCCAACATGGTTATTAATATTTTCTTTCTATATTCTATTAATTATAGCACAGAAGCGATTAAGTGTAATTTAGATGTAAGCTAAAAATATTACCTGTATTAATATATTTTTCTTTTAATTAATTTTTATACAATAATAATTTTGAAATATACAGAACGAAGAAGTTATGGCATTAATAAGGTTATTAATTTGGCATTTTTTAAATCGTTTGCACTTATAATAACTACGACTTGCTATTTAATAATCATCTATTATTAAATCAAACTTTGAAGATAAAAATTCGTTTTTTTTTTTAAATTAGTATATAGAATTCATTTGTTGCTTCTTTTGTCATTTATTTCTAATTACACATTTATTCCTTAGAAATATTTTTCTACCAATTTTATTGAAACATACATACCTAAGTATCAAATTCGTTAGTAAAATCTGTGCCTCCGTCAAAAATTCCGTATTTCTAAATTGTAATACCTTTCGTATTCTAAATACCTGTAGAAATAATAACAGCATTAAGTTGAAACGAAGAAAAGGAACTCCTCCTTTTTACGACAGAATATACAAGTATGAAAATGAACTCGACATGAACTTACAACCTACAACTTAGAGAACAATTCATAACATGCTTGAACCATAATGAAAATAGAAATTAATACCACATTACTCAATCATAGTAAAAAGGATACCAACTCAGATTCCAAATCCAAACTGGTACTGGTTATGCAATTATCTACTATGTAGTTATCGTAAAAGTCAAACTACGTCAAATGGCCCCTATATTTTTCTGTTAACTCATGAAATTAGTGCCAAAGGCTATAACAAAAAATTCGCTATCTTTTGTAACTCTGCAAACACTATATAGTTGCCCGAATTCGTCACTGTGGTAACTTTATTTTTCAAAAAAATGTAGTTAATCAATTTACGTGCGTTTCATTGGTCCAAAAAATACAAATTCACCATAATTTACAGAAAATACAACCTAGGAAACAACAAATATTCTTTTAAGTCCTAACTCTGAAATTTTGAACTTCTTTTTCCTAATGGAAATCTACCATAAACAATGAAAAATTTATATTGATAGTAAGATCAAATTTTGTTAAATATTGTAATAAACAGCTATTCAGTAGGTGATATTATAGTGTGTTTGATTATTTCACTACATTCTTGCTTTTACATATAATACATATTAAACTTCGTAAACTCTGTTTTCTCAGTTTAGAAAATAGTGCAGATAGAACTAGAGACTACCATAAGAAAATGCCAAGTTCACGCTAAGACGATTAAAAAAGAACAACACGGTTACCATAATCTGGATTCCTTCTCGTGTTGCCGTTGAAAAGAATGAAAAAGTGGAGAACATAGCTAGAGAAGCAGCTTATTCAATAATCTTCCACCAAGACACCAAGCTGCTCTATCATACCATATGCTCCCTTTCAAGAAAAAGAAGTTCAACACAACTGGAACGAAGAATGAAGATTCTCAATTGGACAACGTCTACTGACAATTAAATAACATTTTTGCGATACACAAATAAAAAATAGTCAATCAAAGATAAAAATAGGATACATAAAAATCACCCATCGTGTTTCGTGCACCACTGTACTAACGTCAGATCGTATCATCCTGCAATCAGTGCCAGATTAAGGGGGGTGGCGCTAGGGGAGTTATAGACCCGGCCCCCACTTTCAAGGCTCTGATCTGAGCCTTTCGCTTATGTCAAAAAATAATTGAATGAAAGTTTGTTTACTGTTTCCCCTTTGAAATAATTAAAAATTCTACCAAATGTAGACATAAATCGGATCGAAGTTATTAAAATATAACAAAGCATTGTTCGTTATAATCAAGCGTTCGTTAGGATTAAATGATATTTAATTTTACTTAGAATAAATTTCAATTTTTGTAGATTTATGTATTTTATTGTATGTTGCATTACAAAAATGTTGTGCCCGCTACGCCCTCACGCCCCGCCGCCGCTTTTCGACCAAGGGAGCCCACGAAGGTTTAATAACCCTCGGCTTTAAGAAATCTTAATCCGGGCTTATCTCCACTGCGAAATATATTAGGAGAATATTTCCTGTGCTAATTTTTAATGAATATTGTAGTTACTTCATACGTTTTCTACACAAAAAACCGCCAAAAACGAAATCAATCGAGAAACAGGCAAAAGAGTATATTTTAACCAAAACAATCAAAGTGATATATTTTTGGTACAATATACATTTGTACGAATTAGTATCTAAAACCGTGAATTCGCATAAACATCCGCAATCTATCGATAAGTATTATTTACGGACGGGAATGTATCTTTCACTGTCCAAAATATCAAGTTACTACCGTATGAAAAATCAAAGACACGATTAACCCATTATATACATTACTTCTTTAACATTTTTCAATAAAAAAATGCACAAAGTGGCATAAACGCAACATTTTGTTGTATAAAAAGTACCGATCCAAACATGTTGAAATAAGGCGATTTTTACACATATAATGATTTATTACTAATAAAAGTGTATAAGAAAAAGTATAAATACTATCAATAAAATTTTTGGATGGGAACTTTTTGTGTAACAAAATGTTGCGTTTATGCAACTTGGGCCAATTTTTGATTGAAAAAACGCAAAAAAGAATAACTTATATACTATTTTGCCGAAATATAGAAAATGCATTATAATACTAGACAGCATATTATAGAAGCCCACTACATAAGAGAGGTACACCAAAATATTGCGATGATGTAACAAAGAATTCTTTCTTCTTAAGTGCTTTAACTACTTCAATTTCTTCAAATTTCAAAACGTCGTAAGATCTAAGTGGAAGAAGCAATAGTGACGAAAAAAATATTCAGGAAATCTTTGAAATCCTCTTTCATGACTGCAACATGAAAAACAGAATTCAATAATGTAGATTCACTGAATGCAACGTTGTGTCCTATTGGGTTAACTGCAACGAAGTGTAACGTCTAAATCGAGGACAAGTTCGATCGAAATGTAAGCTTCGTTTAAACGACGCTGGACCACGACAGTTCAGTTTCCGCGACTTCGCGTACCCGTGCAATTTTTCACGCGTGCGGAAACGAACACGGAGGTGAGGAAGTGCCGGCACCGGCGGAATGCTATATAAGATGACGGAGGCCGCCAATTGAGTCAGTCATTCTCGTCGAAACAGCGACAGCGTCGGGAACATTCGAATTCCCGCGTTCGTGTAGTGTCAAACAAGCGAAACCGTAAACGATCTTTCTGCTCACGGAACGCCATCCAGTTTGATCGGTTAACCAACAAAAATGGATACCAGGATCGTGGCGTTACTCGTGTTTATCACCGTCGCAGGATCATTCGCGGAGCTTCACGTGCCATTTCACAGGGCTCGTAGAAGTGAGTAATCATCGCGTAAACGTGGAGCGTGAACACTTGATAGGACTGATACACTGTTCGAGATAATTAGAGGATCATCAGTCCCCCTGCTCGTCAATAAGACGTACAATCTTTGAAAAATTTCTTATACAAATATAACTGGGTGTTAATAGTGTTGCTATTGTACGGAAAAGATACACACCAATTGGGCCAAGTTATGTAGAAAGCTGAAGCTAACAAAACTTGAAAACCAACCCTCGATGATCTGAAATGATGTAAATTCAATTCGAAGATTTTAATTTAAAAAAAGAGTAACTTTACTTCTATTGGGTAGGGTATGTTGTATTTCTTGTTGTTTTACAATCATTTTGAATCGCTGGTTTAATCTGAGTAGTACAATTAATATTATATTTAATTTTCCGTAGTTAGTTTTAATCTTATATTTAATTTTCTATGGTGGTTTTAATTATTATGGAAGGTACGATATACGTAGTATAGGTTGTTCCATGTAGAGGTTGTATAAGTTGTAACATAAGTTGTTCCATGGGTTGATAATTTTTTACAAAATAATGATTACAAAATTATGGGATCCGTATTGTAACTAATTTTTTGTCATTTTGAGAGTTGGTAGGTAACTTGGCACAATTTACTAAAGCTACAGCACCTCTTTTATTTCTTTTACTTGGTGCAACAGGGTCACCCGATTTAGCGATTCTCTAATTATTTTCAACAATGTATATACATAGCAATAAAATGTGTCTCTTCCATTAACACGTGACCGCACGATCTCTATTGCACGAAAATGATTCGCACCATGTTGTGTGTCGATCGTTTCGATCAATTAATCTATGGGTAACGGTACCGGTAACGAAGACTACATAACGCGACGACCAAAGCGATCCTTAAATATAATCGTGACGCGAGTCATTATGCTCGCAGGTATTCGAAGATGTTTCACGAAAACTTTGCATTGGTTAAAATTGTTTTTCAAGGATCTATGTACTGTTGTAGACACCGGGATAGTTCTCTGATGATTTTTAATTTCTCACGATAACCAGACTGTGGATGTTTATCTACTTAAACTAAATAAATATATAGAATTTGCAAAATGAAGCAAAATAAAGATTTTAGTAAAATTCAATAGTATTTACGTATGATTATTAACAATTAAGATCCCTAGTACAGGAAACAAAAATCGGTTCAATTTTATTTTTTATACATTACTGTTAAAAATTGAAAATTTCCGTAAAACATCTGCAGTTTACTGATACTTAGATTGCAGATTTTATGGTGGCGTGATTAACCATTAGACACATTCTGTCGGATTGTAAGAGCTCAGAAGACAGCAGAAACTAATTCCAAGTGTACTCGGTAATATTAAAGAAATTTTTAAAACGGAAGAAATTCTTCAGAAATGTAATCAAACTTATCTGTAGACTAAACTTTTATTATGAAATATAGTACAACCACCGACTGTGGTCGCTAATAACCAAGATGTTGATGCGACCTTACATTCACAAAAAAAGAAGTAATAGAGAAATTAATGAAAATGAATTAATGTTCTTGTTTTATTTTTATTCTCATAAGACACTTAACACCAGAACTGCTGAAAATGAATGTGTTTTCATTTCTATCACGTTGGTAAAAGGGACAGCTTGTTGAAGATATGCAGATCTATAAATTAAGAAACTTCTTCACTTATATATTACAATAAGCGCCGCGAAGAATCTCCGAAAATACACTATTGTGAGATTTTCCTTTTAACTATGTACATACTTTGGCAGTTCAAGTGTTAATGAAGAACACAAACTTCAGTTTACTTTTATTTAGTTCTGAAAACGTAGATTTGCATGGACAACCACAGTCCAATAATAAAACATTCTAATGATTCTTAAACCGTTTCAACGGCATTGTCGTTAACCCTTTCATTCCCAGGTTATTTAACAATTACAAAAAAATATTTTCTTGCATTTTTGTCTATATTACATGACATATAAATGGTTCATATGAACATTCTTACATTTTGAAAGTGTTTAGTGCCATTTTTCATTCCTTGGCATTTGATACCCCTTGTTTACTTCTATCACACTTACGTATAATAATTGGCATTATAAAATTATTATACGTAATAAAACCCTTGATCAGTGAACCTTCCTGAAACATTTGAAAGAAATTATATTTCTGCGGTAGGTGATCAAATTATTATGAACAGATGGAGAAATTATATATTTTATGTTTTTGGTGTTATCGTCACTTCAATAATAATGAAGCATACCCTTTTTTCTTAACATACAGATACACAATTTAATATTTTTTATACAAAGCAAGCTACCAAATTCTGCTACCGTTGATACTTCGTAAGTATGACTTGTTACTGTCGATTTATGCGTTCCTTTTGTCGATCATTAGTTTCCTTGATTATTATTTATTCTAACACTATGAAATTATATTGTGTCAAGAAACATTGAAAGTATGCCTAGAAGAATTCAAGCAATTATAAATACGACGGGTGGCGTAATAAAATGTTGATACATATATTATTTGAGAAATTATAATCGTTATCATATGTCAGTAAAAACATAACAATATGTCCTGTAATAAAAATTGTACTATTATAAGTGTATATTCCAGTCCGTTCATGATCAAAATTCAAGTGAGTGGTATGTACTTCGCAGTGTTCATAATAATTTAATCATCCACTGTATAAGGTCTTATTGTATTGCCAACACTGCTTGATATTACAATTCCAACAAATGAAAGAAACAAAGGACAATAATGTCTTACTTTACCGATATGCTTTTAAGAGCATATAATAATTTGTGTTTTGCCATCTATACAAGACCAGAAGAAACTATCATACACTAACAGATATGAAAGAATACATAATACTAATATTTAATTTCGTAATTTAAAACACGTAACCAAAATGTTACAGTGGGAACGAAAGGGTTAAGATCTATTAAATATCATTTCCGAAGATATCGCCTTCATCCTGCGCGATCCAAGGATAATAAAAATTGTATCCGACAATAAGTTACGTAACGTACACTTGCATTTAAACCGGATTCGAGTATACGGAAATTTCAGGATAATTGCGAAACCTCGCGTTCGTACTACGAAGCCGCGAAACGTTAATGAATTATCGGTAATCTGTGTGTCCCGATAGATCCTGGGTAAATTACATACAGCCACGCGTGTTAATAACCAAAAGTCTTTCTGCTTGGCGAAACGGATGCGCCGCAGGAATGTTACGTTTGACGACGACAAGAAACAGGTCCGAGATTCTTTGACGTATTTACATACTTGAGCTCCTCGGTTCAGAGGAACGAGTATCGTTCTATTACGATTGAAACTGAAATCGGTTGTTTGAAGGAGAACTAGCATCTTATTCGATTGATCATAATACCGTGACTCCAGAAAGTTTGCTTAAATATTGTTTCGTAATCTGTCCGTTCGTGAAAATATGAGAGAATGAATCATTCTGGGGACAGTTTGTTTGATGATATATTATGTAAACTTGTGATTTCGAATATTAAATGTTGAATAAATAAATTTGTGGAGAAATTTCAGTTCAACTGCATTCATAATTTGTAAGCATTCTGTTATTCAAATATTATGTAGAGACTTAATGTAAGATTAAAAGATTTTACAATACACACTTTATTATATTAATGCAAATCATAATTTAACATAATCTGAGTCGCTAATAAACCTGCTGTAAGAGGTTGATGAGACTATAAGGAATAAATTTTAAACGAAATAATATATGTACATATAATGTTTTTATAATATTTGAAACTATGATATATAATGCATAGAAACTTCCTGAAGTCAATAACTCGATTTAGTATTATACTAAATCGTTTGAGAATAAACACAATCTCAGAATTATTAAAAATGGAAAGAAATTAATATAAATGGTATTACATGTTTTGCGGAATCTTATTCTATTTGTAATTATTACTTCGGGAAGAGTGTCTCCTTTGTTCACTATTTGCAATACATGTAGGTTTATCAAAATTCCAAATATCAATTTGAAAATAATATCCTTATGGAAAATTACTAAATAGCGATTCCATTATTCACATTACAGTTTACAACTACTTTATCGAATAAAATTATATTGTTTAACAGTTCGTATATGTTTAATATAAAAACAATAATCAATCGTATCAGAACAAAATAATACTCAATAATCGTAATTAATATTATAATACGGATAATCTATTTGAAACATGGAAGAAAATGTTAAGCAAACCATTTCTCAAAAATGACAGATATAGAATTAGTTAAAAATACCGTTTTCAAACATTTCTGTTAATAAGAATACAATAATCAATCGTATAAAGACAAAACAACATTCAATAATGGTAATTAATTTTATCATGGTAATAACATATGAAAACAGAAGAAAAAATTTCAAAAAAGCTACTTCCCAAAACCGATAAAAATACAATACTTCGTAAAAAAAAATACAGTTCCCAAACATTTATACATATAACCAAAATGTCTGTAGAAAATCGATAAAATTTGTCAAGTAATCGATTACAATTTAAAAGATTGTTTGTTTTTTTCACGTCATCGCAAAGTCAGCACGAAATACCGGTGAATGTGTGTATGTCTCTCTCTGTATATGCACATGTCAAGTGGCAGATCGATAATCGATAATTCACGTATGTAACATTAACTCTCGTGCACTTCTCTCTTGAATGTAAACGTTATGCATGTCGCGTAATAAGCGACGATAAATCGTCGCGACGTTTACGAACCGTGACCTCGTTTCGTTTCCTACCTTGACCCTTAACAAGATACTTTCTTTCGACTTCCTTTTTGCTCGTATTCATCTCATATGTACATTCAACAACAGCAGAAACGCATGATTTTACCACACATATAGCTGTTTTGCTGTCAAATTATTTCACATTTCTTTAGTTATAAACTTTAACACTAGAACTACAAAACCCGTCAATATGACAGATTACAGATTTCTTATTTTACAATTATTGAAATAATTGTACTGCCTTTGGCGGAATTTATATTATTTTGTAATTTGCTATACATTTTATGTGATACGATATTATACTAAATTATATTACATATTATATATATATATTACTATTATATAATTTAATTTAATATACATTCAATGTTGGTAGTTCTAGTGACAAGTTTCCTACGGATTTAACTTTAGGTTGGATATTAAATTGGTGATGTCCAAACAATTTACATGAACACGTGTAAAAAGAATTAAATGTCTCACAAAATTGTAACTTTCCATTATATTGCGTTGTTGGGCAGTTTACAAACATATTTCAAGCCATTGGTCAAAGGCGAATCTATTATTATATTCTTGAAAATAGATTCAGTCATAACTTCAAAAATATTTATGCATATTAGAAAATATTTAAGTAATTTAAAAAAGAAATTTGTTGAAACAAGGCTTATAACAATATTGAAGAATTAAATATGCAATCGTATAATGAATAAATAAAAAAAATAATGTAACTGATTTTGTTGATAAATCATTTTATTCCAGAATTCAATTCACTTTTGGTTCAGAATATCTAGCCTTACAGTTCTACCAAAGTGTAGTTGGAAAATGTACTGTACGTTCCTCGTGCAGATGTAACCAGAATTATGTAATTATAAGAAACAGTTTATGCAATTATAATTAAATCACGGAATGTTCCATGAGTTCTCGAAAATACGTTCCGTCAAAGTATTTCTCCCTACAATCCGTGTCCACATTTAATTCCGGAAAAAATATTCTGATTTATAACATAAAAGTGTTACAAAATTCTGTAAACGAATTCTGGATCTTCTAATTTGAGAGAAAGCGACCATTCAATCTACGAACATTCAAATAACAAAATATTGAAAATTTACGAAGATTATACATTTATTTTTATTTATATCTATTTCATTCAATGACCAAACACCAGTTATGATAATCTCTAATTGCATAGTCTATCAAAAAGATAATTATTAGAATAAATTACATGTTTGCGATAATATGTCGTCGAAAGCAGTTTTCGCCTCTTATTCCTCTTTTACTCAAAAGCTAACGATGCTTTACACTCTACACTTTCATGCACGAACGATGTGACGTCAGCCTGGGGAAATCCCTAAATGGTCTACTCGAAGAAACTACCGTTTAAATGTGTGTTATCAAGCGATTGTCGACTCGAAAATTTCCTTGCATGTTGTGTTGGTCTGGCAACTATTGTTTATCTCTGATTTAATGAATCTATCAAATCTTTCGCAAACGAACAAGGAAAACAAATACTCGTGTCTGACCTTCGATCTAACGATGCTCCGTAACTATCTTCTCACACGCATGCGTTCCTGCTAGGGGAACTTCACTTATCCACTAGAAACGCATGCCGACTGTAACCACGAAGCCTAAGAAGCACTGACTACAAAAACACCTAGCGACGCGTTATCACCGGGACGCTTAACCAACAAAAAAAAATCGCTGTTCTGTTTCTTTTCATCGACGAAGATGGATTGCAAGAAAGTGACAGGCAACGTGTTATGGAGATCGTCGAAATGTCGAGGGCGAAACGAGAATCGGTCACCGAGAGTACGAGCACTACCGAAAGCACCGCTAAGTCCACGGACGCTACCACCGCCTCTGCACCAAGCACAACTCCTACAAAAAAACCTAATCCCACGACGATGTCCAATCCAACTCCAACAACCAATCCCACGTCAAGTTCAGCGACACCCAAACCGAGTCCAACGACCGGATCCCCATCGACACCAAATCCCACAACCAATCCCACCACTTTGAAAAAGGAATCCCCGACTCCCAGACCGACGATCACGTCCACCAAGTCAACCGAGGCTACAACCACGCCAAAACAGTCCGAATCTGGGAAACCATCTGATCCGAAGTCGATGACCCCATCGGTTGGACTGGGGACCCGTATCAATTCAGATGAACCGTCCCAAGAATCAGACAAGAAGCCAAAGCCTAACACCAATTCTGCACCGTCAATGGGCAATCTTCCTTACCCCCAATACCCAACTGGAAATCTTCAATCCCCGTTCCTCTTTCCAAATTACGTTCCAGGCTACTCGTCATCTTATAACCCTTACGGTGATCCTACTTTCAACTCTATCCCAGGTCCTAGCAACTATGCATGGACTGGAACCAGCAACGGACCTGGCACGGCTGCGTCTTTCGCCAGTGCTTCGGCTGGATCGTACGGCGGTGGAGCGAGTTATGGCGCGAAACAACCGTCGTTAGCCACTCGTGGAGGATTTGAAGAGGGCTCACCAAACGCTGCTAATGTGCCGAACATGGCTAGCTCTGGGGGATTCGGTTACAGTGGAGGAGGTAATGTTCAGTGAGATGACGAGTTAGAGAGTCCCGTCCAGGGGGGCAGTTATCGAATGGATAATGCATGCTGCGGTGGTCCAACTGTTTAGAGAAATTGGGTGATAAAATAGGGAGCAAGCAACGTATTGGCGAGCAGATTGATTTCGAAGCAATGAGATTATTATTTGGAAGAGTAGGGTTGTGATTTGTGGATATTGTTGAGTTTGGACGAAGCATGACGTAAATGACAGACTTTATAATTAATCGTATTTACGAATCTACTAGAAAATTGTTCAGAAAAAATTATAGACAAATCGGATGTGTTTTGCAGAGGAAAAGAAGTGTGTGTTAGGTTAATTTTTATCATTACAAAGTGTAAGAGCCTGATAAAGTAGGAATTTAAGTATAATAAAATTTATTATAAGGATTTGAATAATCCAGTCGTATCGTTCTAAACAATAGTAGAACAGAATATGGTAAATAACATTTTCACAATGTTGTCCAATGTGTTTGCTTGCGTATAATGAATTTCGACAATTAGTTTAGCGTGTTGTTTTTTTTTTGTTAGTTCCATACACATTTTCTATATATAGTTGCATGAATTTCGAAGGTATACACAGAAAGAATTTTGTTCATCACGTCCCATCGATGAATACACTTACGAACTTCAGGCATTGTTCTCACACGTGATTCGCTTTTTACAGATACTCCATCGTATTTCGATCCTAACGCATTTGTGTTCCCCGGCTACAATCTGGAGAACTTCCAGAGGCAAATGGAGGAACATTTCCGACAGTTGCAAAATCAATTCCAGAAACAACAACAAACGTAAGTTCAAAAACTTTGGTGGGTGTGGTTTGGATCAAGTGCAAAATGAACAGAATAATAATTTATATATTCCCTGAAAAATATTAGGTGTACCAATAAATAATCCATTATTTCCTTTTCGTAAACTGGTAACACAGTTCAAGTTTAAAATATTTTTTTTCTTTCATAATTACGACGAACATTGCAGAACGAGGCCAAATATCACTGAAACAACATAAGCTTCTAATGCACACGAAAATAAAATATAATACAATAGATTTGAGCCCTACTTAATAATAAAAAGTGTGCAAATATGGAATGTTCTACGCAATTTAAAAGAAATATGTTATTAACGAAAATATTCACATTGTTGTAAGGAATTAAGAAATAATTCCCTTAGAGTAATCGAAATTTTCATCAATAGACTCTTTGACACCGCTAATCGCATAGGCACTGAGGGATATTCGGGTGGTGCCAACCCGGGTGCGAACATTGCTGCCTCCAACATTAGGTTAGGACCAAATGGTGGCTATCAGAGCGGTGTAATCAGTCCGGTATGAATAATACTTTGAATATTAAATTATTTATGTCACATCTGTTTCCTAATGACGGATTTAAAATTTCAATAAACAAGCCCATCGCGATAATGTCAGATACCTTTAAGTTAAAGTTTTCGAATTTGCTATGATAAAATCTTTAATTAATAGGGATCGTTTCATGTCGAATTTTGGAATTCGGTTTTATATAAATTTTGAAATATAAAAATTATTCATTTTTTTATCATTTAAGTTCAATGTACTCATACTCTAAGTACAGTAAATCCTCGATGATTGTTCATCATGAAAGTTCCTCGGTACTGACAAAGAGAGGTCACCAGATGTAATGCTGACTTTTTAATGAAGTTTAGCACAGAGCTAACCATAGAGCTTGAAATTCTGAAGCCAATGATATCTGATTCAGCGTCATGTGGCCATTAGTTTCGGAAATATTTAATGTTGAGTGTCGAGGAGCATTGGAACACTCATCGCGGATTTAGTGTATACATATACGGGCTTACATTGAAATAGTAACACTTCTTGGCTTTGAAAACTCTGGAATGAGTCACTGTAAGACATAGAATGTTTAATGCTCCATAGACTTATAACAATAGAAATTGAAACTTAATAAATTCAAAATAAAAAATATTCAATTTCACCTTCCAATAAATTTCATCAGTTGAAGTCCAATACTTCAAGCGGGATGGCACTAGTGTCACTTTGTTTACGTACACTGTCGTCCGTAGATATTGGGACACTTATCGAATATGCAGTAACAATAATAAGATACTATGAAGTTACAGAAGGTCTGAAATAAACATTTTTCATGGAATCTTAAAGACCGATGGACAAGATATATTTAAATATAGTCATAAAAGTGGCTCAAAATATATCATTTTTCTGGAACTGTACATTTCCTCCATATGTACTAGGTGTCCTGATACTTATGAACTGCAGTGTACATGCATGAAATTGTACGCAATAAATCAGTTTCCAATTTTAATCACTTGAGGAATTACATGTTGCCGACTTTGTGACACTTTCTTTGCAGCGATGCGATGTGTATCCAAATTAATAAAATAATTTACTGATTCATTCATCCATTGTAACCAAAGTCATGAAAAATTTCAGAAAAAGCACCGTCATTTTAAGCAGTATATAGAAACGATTTTATCATAAGGAGTCATGTCAACTAATTTAGTAGTACTAGTATTAAAATGTTCGCGTTTTAATCGCATTGTTCTTTTCATTTTTCAGGTTGCACCGGGATTACAGTCCAGATTTGGCGAAGATATTCCTCCACCTTCCGGAGGCACTTACGGTGTATTCTCTAGCTCGAGTAGTAAAACTGTTGTTGGTCCGGATGGCAAACAACATTCTGAAAAATCATCGACGACTGGTGTCAACGATAATGGAAAAATCACTTTCCGTACCGTTCATGATTAAATTTTCCGTCATCGATCGGATTCAGATTCAGACCCCTAATTAACTGCTTCTACCGAACAGTCGTACGTTGCGATAAACTGCGACAGCTTTTGTACTCGTCTCTCAGAACCGAGATTCTTTGTAACTCAGGGTTATAAACACTATTTTTAACCGTTTACATGTCAAATATACTTAAATGAATGCCATAAAAAATACTCATCTATTTAAGTACTTCTCGAAATATAAAACGCCCAGAAGAGTTTACATTTTGGTAACAGATGATTTCATTAGATAATTTTATATTTAGAGACTAATACACAGATTTGCATTTGGTAGATAATTAATTCACGAGAATTCTCTTTTCGTATTAAATGAATGTTACACATAGTGCATGAAAATTCACAGTTCAACAGAAAAGAGATTACCCTCCACTCCAAAAACAGAACTTAGCAACATAAAAATTGAATTATTCTTGAAACTTATTTCTCTATTTAAAAACATACTATCTACTTTAAAAATATTACATAGAGATACTGTATTTTACCGTAGATACATATGCCTGACCAAATAATGTTTGAAACTACGTTATTAAAAAATGGATTTTGCGATTTTTAAGCTATTCTATATAAAAATCGTACACCCTATTTACTTTTTTAATACAGTGTAATGTTATGATATTATTGGTATTTATTTAAATTTCCAGATGTACAATTTCTTCTCCTCGAATAGTTTTCTTTTTACAAAATTTCCGTTTACGAAGCGGAATTTAAATATACATCATTGTTTTATAGCGCTTGTATTTTAGTATAATACAATATTACTTACAACGAAAAGATTCTACAATCGTGTGACTAGTTGCTTTTTAGTCGTTGTTTCCTTTGGTTTTGCTGAGAGGTGCTTCTATCTTATCATCAACGACCGGTGCGCCAGCTGGACGTCCGCCATATTGGGGGAATCGTCCGCCTGCGAAATTTATCGGGCGGTGGTAATGCCAGATAATTTGAGGCCTTTGAAAGTTTCTACCACCCTGATACCAAGGTTCACCGTCTCGAAAACGAGTTTGAATCTGGAATCATTTATTTCACTTCTTTTTACTTTTTATTTAAATAAAGGGTAATTGTTTCGATTAGGGGTGTCTTCCCGATTTCAATGACCTTGAAATATGTTGTCAAGATCAACATTCTGAGCCTTTTTCGAAAGTTGTTTAGAGACAGCTCAAGAAAAAAAGTAATTCTGAGTTGGTTTGTATACAATTATTTTTACGCATATCTCTGAAACTAAATCCGAGCGGTGGTTATGCGTATAGAAAAAAAATACACCGAATTTTTACTTGAAACATCTTTAGGGTCATTTAAAGAAAGGTTTGGGAAAATATTTAATTGGTCCATTCTATACTATCCCAAAAGTTTCCAAACCGAAATTAAAACACCAGTTTTCCGTAAAATAATGATGCTTTTTATGATCCAATATTAAAAATAGTCTTCCTTTAAAGAGATATGTATACTGTTCACAATAATTATAGACACGCTGGACATGAAACATATTTCAAGGTCATTGGAATCGATTAGGTCGCCCCTATTCCGAATATGTAATTACCAAATAAAGTATAAAGAGTTGATATTCAATGTTATTTATATTAATTCACGACACACTTATGTATGTACTGGTTAAATTTTTACAAGTGACGAACGTAGAGGCCCTTTCTGAAAAATAATGAACGTACGACGATCTTCCTTCTATATTTGTATTTCTAATTGTATGTATACATATACCTATCAGACTATGGTATACAATGTAAGTTTTTTTTCTCTTATTCTTTTAAGACGTATTAATTACAAACGGTTATTAGTGACCACAATATTCAGTTATATCACGTATGTAAGTAGTTGTTTCTTACTCTACTACCTTTAACTTTAATTGATCTATACGGACACACCTTTAACAAATTAAACATGATACATAGTAGTGGAAACAAAATGGAAAAATACACCATCAGCACATATCCACACAATCAACAATAGCTTCATAACTGAGGAAAATATCGGTACCACAAGATCTAACAAGAATAAAGCAAATTGTGATTTCCCGAATCAAAATTGGACATACATAGATAACCCAATCTCGTTTACTCTCAAAAAGTAATCCTCCAATTTGTGCCAAAACGTGAAAATAACTGTAACTCACTTACTTATACACTGTAGTAAATATTTGGAATTACGACAAAGAACGTAAGCTACAACTTAAAAAAAAAGAGAACTTGTTTAATCATAAAAAAATACATAATAGTCAGAAATTGTGAATAAAACTAATAGGTCTGGCTAATTTATACCTATTATTTAAATGAAGTTATATACTTTCTCATATTGTGATTTTAATTTAATGAATTTTAATTCGCACGTATTACTTTAGTCGTTTCACATTTACTTATTCAATATAAAGTCTGTTCGTTAAATTATTGTTCTGCAACAATACCTTTTAAATTTTATTCCGACTATTACTGGGAAACATTCTATTCAATAATTATTTAGAGAATCAAACTGAAATTTCATGAAATTAAGCAAATATAATATTAGAGTCTATTTCTATTATTGAATCGATAAAAAAGGAACATCAATGGTTGAAGTTTAATTTAACAAACTTTTTAAAAAGTTGTGTTCAAGATGATACTGTGTAGAATAGTTACCTGCGGAAAATTGTTACGTAAATATGTGCTTGGACTTGAGGGAATCCTGTGGTGGTGATCGACAGGCTGGTCACGCGATGTTTCTACGCCACGAAGTCCATCGACAACTGGAATATCATTGATCTGAAGATCGGTCTCGGCTTTCGTTACCATTCTAAGGTGTACGTCGGTTATTATGTTGCCCTCATCATCACAGGTGGATGACACGGATACTTTGCAGAAACCATTTTGGCAACCATCGACGCTTGGTTTAATTTCTTGACCATTGATAATGATCTGGATGTTATCGATAACATTCGATAGTTTCGTCGAATCATCCTACAAGGTTGTTTCTTTAGTAAAAAGCCTTAATTTTTACTTTACTTACAACTATGTAACTGAAAGAATACAATCATATCCTTCAAGAACACAGTAACAACTTAATGAAATATAAGAACATATATACAATCCTGTATTATATCAAACCTGTTGCGTTTCGAATGTAACTATTCCACTCAGGGTCGTTCCTAGCGGGGGTGCAGAAGGTGCCCCCGCATCTGGGCAGCCAAACTCGCCGCAGATCGTTTAGTATATGTAAAACTTGGACTAGTAAAAATAATAATCAAAAGTTTTCTGATGATTATGAAAATTTTAGACCAACAGAATTTAATCAAATTAATTGTATATCTAATCTTTGTAACAGTACTCGTATACAGGAAGGAACTACATACCTTTATGGACACCCCAAAATAGCATATGACATTTAGCCGTATTTGATAGATTACATAAATTCGTATAGGTAATTAATGGTCGCTATTTATCAACCATAACATTATTATTACCAATATTATACGTTAGTTTCGTACTTATATGTGGAATAAAATATTCCTTTTAAAAAATGTATAAAAGTAAACCCTGCGTATCAAATACTTAATTGAATAATATTAAATTAATAAGGGCGGCGATACTGTTTTTGAACCCGGGCGGCCAATAACCCAGGAACGGCCCTGATTCCACTGTTCATTTGTTAACAAATTATGTAGGGTCATTTAAAGAAAGGTTTGGGAAAATATTCAATTAGAATGGTCTGTTCTATACTGTCCCAAAAGTTTCTAAACCGAAATTAAAACACCAGTTTTCTGTAAAACAATGATGCTTCTTATGATCAAATATTAAAAATAGTCTTCCTTTAAAGAGATACAGTAAATCCTCGATGAGTGTTCGCAGGCTGCTCGGCATCGAACATTAAATATTTCCTAAATTAATGACTATATAGGGTTAAAACAAATATCATTGGCTTCAGAATTCCAAGCTCTATTACTGTGTTCAACCTAATTAAAGAGTCAACGTTACACTTGGGGACCTCTCCTTGTAACTGCCGAGGATTCAACGAACACTGATCGTGGATTTACTGTATACTGTTTATAATAATTACAGACACTCTGGGCATGGCTCTGGTAATTCTTTTTCGAGATGGTGGAAAAGATAATGGTCGAAACTTTTGGCCTTACGAGTCATGAGATTACACAACATCTTGATCTCAAAAGGTAAGTATCTCACAGTTTGATTAGTCAGTGTATTCGGCTGATTCTTCTATAATACACTAAACTCATAATTCCTGTTACCCAAATTGTAAACGAAGACACAGAACTGACAATCCAAAATCATTTTGACATTCATAAGGCTTCGAGGACTAACTACTGTCTCCATCATGTTCACGAAGAATTACTAGAGCTATTTCCATTGTTTCTATAATTATCATGAACAATATATCCCTTCAGAAGGAAACTACTTCCAATAATTGCTGATAAAAACCGTAAATATCATAAGAAAAAGTTGCTGCTTGAACTTCAATTGCGATATTTTCGATACAAACAACGTAGAAAACTGAAACAAAGTTATACATATATAAAATGTACAAGATATACAAGGTGACAAAAAAAAGGGTTCATAGTTTCTACGGTAGGTAAATAGTACTTGCCAAATTATGAAAAGAATTCTTAAGAAACATAGGTCGAAATATGAATGTTTGGAAAGTTATAAACAATTTTTGGTATTAGTTAAAGTGAGTGACTTTCTTGCTTGGGGAACTGTCGTGCCGTGTGCAGACAATGAAGAAAATTGTAAAAAAATTATTAATAATTGTGGCAAATCTTTTTTAAGCAAGAAATGAAGAAATGATAAGGTAATGCATAGTTTCCATGCGACACGATAGCTCTCGAAGCGAGAAAGTCAGTAGTTTTAACCTAAACAAGAAATGGTTTATAAATTTAAAAGTATTAATTTTTTGACCCATGTGTTATTAGGACATTTTTTTAATCATTTGTCGAGTACCATCTACCCTAGAAGTTAGGAATCCTTTTTTAATCACCTGGTATAGCCTTAGATTATTTAAATTTTTCACAATGTAAACAAAATCTTCAAACCCAAAGCATCAAGTGCTCACTCACGCGTCCAAGGTTGCTGGTCCTTTTCTTCAGCCCGCAGGATCTTAAATAACCGTGTTCCGACCGGCCAGTGATTTTATTAAAATCCACGACGACCTTCGTATCGGGGTCACCGAGACTCCCGCTATTTTGTTCCAAGCCGAAATTAATCTGTGATGAAACTTCCGTACAAGACGCGAAATTTATCAGGGTAAATGTCATCCACAGGACCGCGAGAATAATTCTTTTCATTCGTCTCTCCATTGTATGCTCGACTGGTATCGTCGTTTTTCACGACGAACTTTGACTGCCTCGCAAAGAAATCGCTTCAAGGAAAGGATAAGCATTGGGACAGGATGTGTATAGTACGGTAATGACTATGATTGCCGCGCACGTGTAAGAAAATTACAATGGCCTCTGTAAACTGGCAGAACAGAAAAATAAGGGGGTAATTTGACGTGCGAAGAGATCACTCCCGACGAACGGACACGAATCGGTGATCTTAATTGCTTCCTGAAGGCGTTATCTAAGGCATGATCTTAGGTAACCGCGAGCATTTCGGTGTTATGCCTAATTAAGAACGTATGAAAGTGTCGGTGATTGTATGCAGATTGAAAAGTGGAATCGAGCAACGAACAGTTAATATTTCATTGGTTGTACCCGGTTGAAGGTCTTTCATGGTATTCTACGGTTTAGTTTGGACATTGGAGAGATTTAATTCCGAGAAGAGGAGAACTGAGTTTTGCACAATAGTAGGTACTCTTTACGTTTCACGTAGACGCCAATTCTACCTTTTGTGTTAGTCGGATGTTACGTCTATGCTTTAATAAAGAATGAAAAAGAAGAATGAGGTAAAATATTGGGTTGAATTAAAAAGTTCGTTCGTTTTCTACCGACAGATGAAACCGATTGATCTTATGCATTACCAACCGTATAACAACCTATAAATTATATCCCACATAGCACCGTACATCCTAAGGACGTCCGTTTCATGTACAGTTTATATCCGAATGTCCTACGTCCATTTTGGACGTCCCTAGGACGTTCGTAAGACTTAAATTTCGGATGTTCTAGAAACGTCCGTCCCAAAAGTCAATACGGATGTTCTCAAGACTTAAATTTCGGATGGTTTCGTTTAGTATGTTTGCCTATGTCATTCCGTGCAAGGTGATGGAACCTCATGAACAAGGTGTCAGTCTTTAAATAATCAATACAGAAGTGTAACGACACTAGTGGTCTTGTGCGAAAACCTCAAGAAAGTTGAAAAAACATATTTTTTCTTAAACTGTCTCTAACCAACACAGAATCAGTTTTGCTGTGAAAATAGAAATAAACACAATCTACTTGGCATTATATAATGCCTTATAGGAAATTTAACCTTTTATTTATTACCAGAAACTAACTAGATCTAATTTTTACTAAGTGTTGAAATCGCAGGAAAGTTAATCTTGTATTTGTTAAATACAAATCAACCTAACCTAACTCCTGTCACCTTGTACGGAATGAAACCTAACCGCAATTTTAAAATCTCTTCAAACGTTCCCAAAACGTACAGGGAATGTTACTTTCACAGATTCGGGAAACGTTCTGAGAATGTTGACTCTTGTTCCACTTTGTAAATAGGACCTTCCTAGGACATGTAAAGATCTTTTTGTGCTATTGGGGATATCATTGTGTTTACTGATATTTTTTCGGTTTAAAAAAAAGGTTACTAGCACCTAAATTCTTCCTATAAGTCAACTTTAAAACTACATTATATAAATGCATATTAAAGCCAATACGGATATACGACGGTATAGAACTATGGGGTTCAACACCCAGATAGCACATTTGAAGATGGCTTAAAGGTGCTTCAGACCTAAAATAGCCGTAAAATGGGCGTCTTCGAGGCATCATGTGCTATCTGGACATTCACCTCCAACATTGAAATTTTTGATTGATTTCGTTAGAAAAAAACGCTACGTATCATCATACATATGACATGGTTTATACCCAATGACACATTACGAAAAGAGCTCAAAATTCCCTTGGTCGAACAGGCAGCTACAAAATGTGCAAGCAACCATTCGCAGAAATTACTTCACCATCCTAACATACTTACTTATGAAGCGGTTAGTACTCCAAGAAATATCAGACTCATGCAGATTCAAACGATTTAACCCTTCTAATATAAAAAATTGATTTTAATTTCTATTTAAAAACTGATTTAATATAACTATTGTATGAAAAGACTATGGAAGATTGCGTGTACCAATGGGCACATTATCTACTAATATATGCACACGATTGTTCTCTACGTAATGACATTTGTTTATTGTTATTTTATAACAGAATACAAAGAAACGAGAAATATATAAATGAAAAGAGTTTCTAAAAAGACGTGAATATTGGAATAATAAAACTTGTGTGTGATTAATTTGAAAATAGAAAACCAGAAAGTGCAATTCCGGGACCTAATGCTTTATTACTTTCAAAGGGGCAAAAATATCACTCAGATCCTAAAAAAGATTTATGCGGTGTATGGAAAAATGTGAGTGATCGTACATGTCGAAAATAATTTGAACAATTTAAAACAGGAGATTTCGCTGTAGAAGATGCACTGCGCCGCAGTGATTGCGGTAGGGTGAATTTTCAACCGTTGAAAGTGATCAACTTGTCGCATCAGTTATCACTAGAGTACCACTAAAGAGATCGCTGAGACATTAAAAACAGTGGTGCATAAATTATTAACTAAATGTAAATATAAATATTTAATTTCATAATGTGAATAATATGAATGGTAACATACTTCTTATATTTTTACAAATTTTAAGTAACTTATATACCGAAAAAATTAAAATTTTCTAAAACATTTAATCGAAATGTCCAAATACATGATAAGAAAACAGTGGTAGAAAGTTTCTTCAGTATTGAAAAGAAAGATTTCAGTTATGTTATATCAAAGAATCGAGCATATTTATTATTTAATTTCTTAGCTTAACTTTTACGTATGCTGTATTGTATTCTCTTATTAGTTCTATTATATTAGAAAGCTGTTTTTCAAATTGTACCTATTTAATATCAGTGTATACGAATAGATTCTATAAAACGAAAACGTACTCGAGTATTAACATTGAAACTACCGAAGCAGTCAGAAGGGCTGATTAATACATTCTTATAACGATGGTTAAAGTGTTACAACAATGCATCCCTCAGGTCTGTCACAACTTTTATTGCAATATGAAAATGCAGAAATTCGTTAATTTATAAATTGGAATATTTTCACAAGTTTATCATATTTATCGATCCGATAGGAATAGGTATATGTTTATCGCCGGTAGTCCTAGTGTCAAATATATTTATTGTAAAATTTTCACTATGACGTAATATTGACGCAGAATGTGTAAAACGGCTCTCACTAAAAAAGGATATGGTGAATGATCTGAAGAAGAAAAAAACGCAAAGGGACCGTAATTGATGTTGTGTTGCTCTTTCGACGCGAAAAACAAAGAATGACTACTCTGAAATGCACCCTGTTCAAGCGCAATCGCTACGGCCCGTGTGCAGGGGGTTACAGCAATTTTAAATTCCCTCGTTTACGTTTATCGTTTGACTAAGCCTCTGAGCAAACGGAGGGTCCTGAAAGCTCATTGAAATTCATTAAAACCCTCGTTGCATCTACCAACCCTTACGGGCTGCAATAATCGATTTCTTAATCACCGTTCCGACTTAATCCGCGTTTAATAACGTCGCGTGGAACCCGATGACATAACCTTTTTGCATTTTAATGCCTCGAAACTGGCAACAAACGAAAGTAGTTCTTCATATCGCACTGTCGTAAGTCGAAACCCGCGTAACTTTTTAGGAAAATGAAAAGAAATTGATTCATTACATAACATTTAAAATATTAACACTACATAGAACTACCTAAACCCGTCAAAATGACGGATTATAGATTTACTATTTTTCCATTACTGAAATTATAATGGTGCTTTTGACGGAATTTAGGTTGACTTTTAATTTATTACACATTTTATTTTATGGTATACTATGCTAGGTTGTTTTGTATATTCTGTATATTATTGTATTATACAATTTAATTTAATATGCATTCAATTTTGGTAGTTTTAGTGCTAACACGTTGACTGCCAGATCAATGTCGAAAACTTCTCCGATAGTTAAAGCAATATTTTTAAACAAATTTGTAACTTTGAACATTCGATTTGTTACACTAAGTATTCCTTCAATTTTCTCGAATCTTGTAGGACTTAATGAAATTTACTGTGTTCAGTATTTCAGCAGAAAGTTCTGTTTTCTTAATTTAATAGCGTCACCCATATGTGGGTCGCATGGCAGTGAAAGCGTTAAACAACTTATGACATTTTTCTGGATGATGGATGTACGTATTAGAAGACATTTCACGCAATAAAATACAAATTTTTTACTTGTAACACTTCCTGGTGATTGTGATGTTTTCTTGACATGTTCTAAATATTTCAAATCTCACTCAATTCCAAATTAAAGCACCCCTAAGTGACAATTTCAATGATTATTAATGTGTATCAAAAGTAACATTTTGAAAGACACCAGACTTTGTAACAGAATCTAATTCTGCAATATTCTGCATAGCATACTTATTTTGAATCGTTGTCGCTAATAACTACGTATGTGTTATTGATGTGGTGCTAAATACACATAAAAAGAAATAATTTTTTAAAGATATAAATTTCCCCTCGCATCGACTAATTGTTTTGATTATTGTAATCTACATCATTCTTTCAACCAACTTCGCTTCAATTACAAAGGTAATTCTTCTGTTTTATAATAAGTATTAAATTCTTATTACACATGTATAATACTTTTTATTAGCAGGTATACGTTTGAGACTAGGATATAACAATCGATCATATACTTAATTTATGTTTAGCAATCCTTTTGTTAGTTGGAGATTATCATTTAGTGAACCTCCGTTTTGATTTATGTTTGATGCAGAAATTATATCACTGCATTGGATAATACAAAAGATAAAGTTTTACAGTTGTTTTCTGACACGTATGTTACTCAATGTTATACCACAAAAAATTTCGTGTTTAAAATTTTGTTAAATTAAACGTATCAATTTCAAGGAAATAACAAAGACATGAAAAATCATATAGTACATAGTAAGGTTATTTACTTTCATTAATCTCAGTTATTAAATTAATAACATACCAAAGCAAAAATCTTTTATAATCTACACGACTATGTATAATTATTATCGTCAATAATTGCACAAACTTGTTTAA